ATTCAATTTTTCATTACTTGAAAATAGTTTTTTTAGATGTTGCCTTCAGTATGTACGATAGCCCGGAGAGGTATATGTTTTTCAAGAGGCTTACTCAAAGGCCATTCAAAATGGCAGAACATCAAAGAAACAAAGGGTAAAAATGACATGCTTAGGTCGAAAGCGATAACAGCTTTGCTGACGAAGGTAGGTGCCCTGCCGTCCAGAAGTAGGTACTAAAATTTCAGAATTGCTCTATTTTTGAGGTCAGATCTGCCGTGCAACGTGGAGGCTTTGACACGAAACTTAATCGAGAGTTAGCAGGATTGGAGCAGGAGTTTCGGGCAAAAGGACTCCCTTTAGACACTTTCAAAAAATTTTTGGTCAAGATGAAAGTGAGTTAGCAGTGGAAGCTTGTTTTGCACGATTTTAAACTTTGCTATACCCTTTTTTTGAGGAGAGACCTGAAGTTGAGGTTCAACTCAATGTCATCGGTCCATCTGGGACGTTTTTCATAATTGAAGCCGAAACAGACAACAAAAAAGTGTTGGAAAACACAATGCGTAAATATTTCAATAAAGTAAAGTCTGTTTTCTTGTGTTTAGGTCTTCCCAGCCTCGAATATTTTTTCTTCAGGTGGGTGGGTTTCGTTTTGCTTCTGAAGCGTCAGCAGTACAGAGTTGGTTTGAACAAAAGGGAGTCTTGAGCGTCAGTGAGAAGGCGAAAGGTGAATCCGTGCCTATGGAACAGGTTCGTGAACCTTATTTTCTCTCTACTTGAGTAATTCATTGGATGCTTGACTTTTTATCTTCAATATCTGGGATTTTAGATGGAGGAAATCGGGATCGAATTGGATTGCGAAGACGTGTCCCTTGTTGAAGACGAGCATCGCTTATACGAATTAGTATGTGAGCCGGGAAGGTTAACAAAAGTAGAGACTGCCTTGACTGAGAAAGGGTGAGTGCACCTAGACATGTAGAATTTTTTTCAGCAATCTTGAAAACCTCTTGTGAATTCGCATGGTTTTGTTAAGGTTCGTGGTCGAGTCGGCTGAGCTTCAGTACAGACCTCTTCATCCTATCCATATTGAGAGCGAGGACGCAGCGAAAGTAGGAAAGTTGTATGAGTTTCTACAGGTTAGTCAATTTATTAATGGATCCTCCTTAACCTTCCAAAATGAAGATGGCTCCATGGCTGGTGAAGTGTTTGCATTTCTGAGAATATCCATGGTTTGTTTAGATATTATTTTTCCTTGTCTGTTTATATGGAACTTTGAAGGAACGAATGTCAGCGTAGTGGTGGCAGATACTGGAGCTTTTTGATATCTTATTAATGTTTCAGGAAGACGAGTCAATACGACAAATATATGACAACATTGTGCCATCTTAATGACTATCCGCAAAACCTTTATTTAGTGAAATTGTTTATATATGTGATTTAGCAAGTCCATCTGTTAATTGTTGAAAAGTTATGATTTTATTGAATTTTCAATTGGTTAAAATATTATTTGTGGCGAGGTTGTTAATAGAAAAGCGAGCTCGTTTTTCTTTCCCATTAGATTTGACTGGAGAATCATGCTACAGTGCTTTCTAGAGAAATAAACTTTTTCGAGGATTTCGAAATGGGGAATAACTGGTATCGGAAAGGCATGGCGGATGAGAATGGGATGTAACCGAATGAATCATACAATGTAAAAAAGATTTAAGCTATTAGGTTTGGATAGGTTAGAGATTTATGAAAAGGCAATGAAGGAGATTTGCTGTATCGCCTATTTTTACAGAAGTCTTTCCGAAAAGTGGCAATCAGAATGCATATTTCTGATCACCATACTGTACCTTTAGAACCTCAGGTAAAGTTAAACGGGAACTGGCTCGCAGCGGTTAGCGTATTGAACATTGTAAGACAGGGGATTGAACAGTTCTGGTTGAATACAGTGCTTAAGCTGCGTTGCAGATGTGTAAAAGGTACGAGATGGAGACGGCACGACTTGCGGCGCGTCGCATGCGACGTTCGTGAACGAGTCCACCGGGATGGTTTTGCCGCGCAACTCGACCGCATGCCGCATGCGGCAAGCTTGCGTGCAGTTGCTCCCTGTTGTTGCTTGCTGCCACACATCTTGCTTACAATTAGTTGTTATCCAAATTACCCATACACGACTCGATATCATATGTCTATGGGAAAACGGCGCTATTAAAACAGGGCATATCTATTCCTCTGTGAAGCCATTTGGGTTGGACTGTTTAGTTGGAAATCCAAAGAAATCAAATTACAAGGATTCGCAGATGCATTTTAACCTTGACTGGGGTATTTGGGAAATTGCTGCGGTGGGAGGATTTCGTTTTTTTTCACCAGTGGTTTTTTTCATTCAATCTTCTTCGCTGTGGTTGTGGGGATATGCCGACTGGATAGGCATTAAATCGGCAGGCATGGTCATCGTCGAATAACAAATTTTATACAAATATATTCTTCAAGTACTATTATGATATTGTTATTAGACTCGTGGTAAAGATGTGTAAAGGAAAACCAGCAACAGAAGAACAGAGTGTACAGAAGAAATCTGATAACGTCAAAGAGAACAAATAAGAAGGCAGTACACAACAAACAAAAATCCTAGCTGAAAAATCAACTGGATACAATATCACAGAAAGGAACAAATACGAAATAAACTGATACGATCGCTTGATCAGGGACCATTACAGGTTTTTAATGGGATTGCCTCGGAGACTAGACATATGTAGGTGATGAAGACTTATTCACATCAGTTGCTCTGGGGAATCAGATTCAGAAACAAAGAAGATGATGATGGAGGAATCAGAAAATCGAGCACTACACGAAAAATTGCAGATACCACAGGCTAAAGTAGCTTGGCCGTGACGACTGTGACACAAATATGAACGTAATGCCTCAATATCTCTACACCCGACCAATGCTGATCCAGTAGTTTTAGGTAGAGGAGACCAAAACAGTGCTTCGTGAACCCTCTTTCCTTCTAGAGCTCTCTAACACTTTTTGTCCCCATCATACAAACACTATTTCTTCATCAGCAGTGATCGGCCGCCCGCTATCCTCTTAGCATAAACACAGGCTTTTCTGAGGCTTTCCGATCTATGGCCTCGGTGTAACAATGGTTCATGTAAAGAGAAAATGTTTCCATGAATATAGCATGACGCTCGGTTTACTGCGGTCGCATCGATGCTACCTGAGATGCTGGACTAAGTTTTGTAAACATTTCACATGTGCTCGTGCTGCTGCCAGAAGACGTACACAGTCATGACGTTCTGCCATTTCTGAAATAAAGTAAACTGAAGGAAGTCACAGAGGAGAAGATGAAACCATTTCCAAGCTTCAAATATTTGATCGGGTGGTGATAATGTGTGATATTTTTGGCTGATTTCTTTTTTTTTGACATTTTCTCGTGATTGTAAAGGATTTGTCCTGCAAATCCCAATTAACTTCAAATGGTGGGGCCTACTCTGTTTAACATTCTTTCCTAGTTGCAAGTTGCTTGCTAGAAATTGCTAATTCCACATTTTTCTGCTCCTTTCGAAGCTATTCCAATACACCATTGAAAACTAGAGGTTCATAGAACAAGTAACTGTGTGACCCTTGGACTTTTTCCATTTTTGTTCAATAGGAGTCTGTAGATTTTTTTTTCTTTCTGAGCTTAGATATAGCTTTTCATTTTTACCGAATAAGCTAACAAGTGAGCAAGACGTCATCCGGTGCTAGAGCCAGAAAAAGCAGCGTTCAATGGGGAATCACATGTGAGCCGTACTTTTTGAATATATCACCACTAAACCGTAAACGTAGTCCTTGAAACAACAGCCCGTAAGTACGACTCGCTGGTGATTTAATTGGGGAAGTACGACTTGTGAGGACGTATGGCTCATGGATGATTTGTTCGAGGAAGTCCCAGACAAGGATGATTTCATCGAGGTTTTCTAGATGTGAAAAGAGCGTTTTCATCGTTTGATAAGTAGGTGTGTGATAGGCTCCCTGGGAGTTCTGGAAGGTTTTCACAGCTGGGTTCTCAAGCTCAAACTTAGGACAAGTTGAATTAAATTTGCTGAAACCTTCCATCTAATGAACGGATTTGCACGATGAGGAGAGGACTACTCACCATTAAAGAATTTGATCATATCAGTAAAGTCCATGTTATTAGCGATGATCACATCCCGATAATTGGTTACCATTGCCAAAGCGAAAAAGAGCGGAAAATGCGGTGTGAATGTCCTTGTAGCTGCCCATATCGTCTCCCACACGCGGAAGATGCAGTCGTACGACATTTCTGTAAAAGAATACCAGATTTCTCTGCTGAAATGATGATTTTAATGAGAAAAAGGATCACCTCGTTTGAAATCAAGTAAAAACCATCGATAACTGAAGTACAAGTGGGTAAAATCGGAGGTGGAAGTTAGCATAGTGAAGATTTGTGGGTCGACGACCTGAAACAAAAACAGATTTGAATTATTCAATTCAAAACAAGGTTCGAGTCTCATCAAAGCACTGCTTTCGAAAAAAATTTCAGAATTTTTTCTATTTGATCTTCACTTTTCCAACTGCGTGGTATACGGTAGCGATGGTGATCTGCCGTCGATACGGTCGGTCCCTCGTTTTCTCGACGCTCGTTTCTAGCTGTCTGCGCCCTCCTTTTTACAATTGTTCCCTAATTTTTTGCCGGTCCCTCGTTTTCGATGGGCCAATTCTTTTTCCTTCGTCCATCGATGGCAGAGATCAGGGTGATCAATCCCAGCCCAAAGATCTGAAGATCAAGCGCATACTAGTTCCGGGACTCTGAAGTATCAAAGCCTTCCCAGCCGGCCGCTATACCTTCGCGACCAAGAAACTAGGTGTCACCATCCAACAGATAGAAATTGGAGTCCTGCAAAAGTCTCATACATGCAGAGTGCTATTTCATACCAGGGGGAAGGACGAGAAGGTCGAGTCTGATCGGTCTCTCTGAAAGGGCTTGGGCATCAGACTTTCCCCAGAATTGAGATTTGCATGTGTATAATCAGTACTGCAATAGGGCCGAGATCTCATCATCGTCCACCATGCTTCATAACTGCGATAGGTCGTAAAATGCCGTAAATTTGTAAGTTGTACAGCATTAATGTGACGATTACGGTGGGAATATGGATTCCGACCATATTTTTAGTTACTACAGTAATAAAAAATGTCCACAATATTTTTTTTGAGCAGCAGTTCTTAAACAAACCTGTATCAGGGAGCGCAAGTTCATGAGACACACATCCATACCACTTCGCTGTGGAAAATTGTCTCTTAAACGAGCCATTAACATCGTAAAGCATTCCAATGTGAGTGCTTCTGAAACAATGACTTCCTCCCTAGCAAACATATGTACAAACAAATAAATAAACAAAAATTTTTCCAACTATTCACCATCTTCGAAGATTACCAGAAGTGGAGCCAAAATGTCACACATTCCTTGGATATAGCCGTCTTCAAGATTTCGTCTCACATATGTTATCATAACTCTTCTGCAAAGAGAATACCATACTCGGTTGACATTGGAATGATTTCCGACTTTTGTATGCCAACTGAGGAATTACTCACCGTAAGCTTTCAAGATTTTCTTTATTCGAGAAGAAAATAAGGTTTCTATCGCATCTCTCTACGTCTTTGTCTATTCTATGCAGATTATTGGCGAACTGCCGTAGTAGACTATCGCCGACCTCATTGTGATGAGATTTGCCCTGAATAGAGATAATTAAAAACCTAAGAAAGTTACCTCGATGAGTGGCTAGAACTAAAAAGCTGTGGACGAATTGATGAAAGGGAATGTATTCCTTGTTTGGAGGCAACTTAGTTGTTCTACGTTCTACGGGTAGCGATAAGAACAAAGGATTCGCTCGAAAATTTTTGAGATCATGTTCTTTACAGTTGATTTTTGCGGAGGAAAGAACATTGGTAAGATAGTTTCCACATGGGTGGGCATTTTAAGGTTTTCAAGTAGAGACACAGTGATCAGGTGATATGAGAGGGAGTGAGAGAGCAGACGATACGAGACTTCGTTCCATCCAGACATGCTTCGCACCGATCAAACTGGGGGCGGAGCGATCCCTAGAGGGGTGGTTCCGAACACAATCAGGGTACCATTAATGTAGCTTCTGTCACAGAATGCAGGGCAATAGGACGGAGATGTGTATCGCTTATGTAGATGGACTGTTGAAACAAGCGGTTCACTACCTTCGGTATATAGCTAACTGGTCGAACGGAAATTGTCTTACCACTAGTCCATTTTCAGGCAAATCATCTTCAAATACCTCGCTGGTCATGGAACATTCGCGTTCCGGCATAGGAATCCTTCTATGTCGAGCTGAAATAGGCCACACGGTTCTTTATGAGCAAAGACCCATAAGTCTGAGAAAGACAAATTTCGATTGGGCAAGAAATTGACATACCAGCTATGAAGTCCTCCTCATCTTGGCGGCGAACTTCTGCTTCCAGTACCCTCCAACTATCAACATCCTCTCTGAAAATGCTTTGTAAACTCACGCAGGAGCAATGATCCGGAATGAGAACGTACCTGTATTTCTTTGTAAATTCAGTCATTTTAGGTTCAGGTTCCTCATCCCAATCAAAGAGCTTCAAAAGATATGGCCAAGCCTAAAAAGCTTTCCATCTTTTCAGCCTTTCCTGTTAGGTAGAATCTTACTGAAGGTAAAGTAAGTACCTGACGTCGAAGTTCTTTAGTAGCTGTTCCCTCGATGCCTTTCCAATAAACCCTTAGAAGGAATTCTTCTTCAAGTTCAGCCTGAAAACTTGCATCTCTTATATATCATTTGTTATACTTATTATGAAAATCTTTTTCAGACTGAGATTGTGATAGGAACATTAAAATTGCATATCTCCTAATGAGCTCATCTGTCCCAGAATCAAACTGTTCACCACAGCTTAGCATTTTCGTGAAACCACAAAATATCCGCTTCCTGGGTTCGAAATGAGGCGGAAGGTTGAAATTCCTCACCGTCTTCTCACTGCGACATTTCTTCCAAAACTCTTCATCGACTGGCTTTGCATCTTCCTCGCCACTCATTTCTCTCGTATCGACCAAATACATCAGATGCTTTCTTATAGTTCGTAGATGTCGACAATAGGAAAGCCCTGGAAAGTAGAACATTTACAAAATATCCTGTGAAGACCTGGGCTGTTAATCAAGATTGGGCTAATCGCTTCCAGGGAGCAGTTAGAAGTCTGTCAATGTGTGCTATCGCTTTTTTCCTCATACTTCCTTCACAAATGCTATTTTCACTGAGAAGCTTCAGCCGTGTCAAAGTGGTTCAGTATTTTGGCTATCCTTTTCAGATTGCCATCTCTTCGCACATCTCTGCTCTCGCTGTTCTTTTGGTGAGTTCCATGCATCTAGCCTTAATTGTTCCACTCTTGGTTGCTCTTTTTGAAGTAAATTACGACCCCTCCTTCTCTTACTAGCTTGTAATGAGTATTTTCATTGTAGCACGGATTCTCGCTACCCTATTTCGTCACGGGTGAGAAAGCGAATTTCTGGAACCCTACAGACTTTTAAAAGGCTACGCTGTAGAGCTGGTATTTGAAAATAGCGATGAAATTCGTTCGGCTGGATAATGAAGTAGTGCCAATAATCACTTTCATTTCCTAAATTCAATGAGAAAAAAACCGAGACGGTAATGAAGGTACACTCACATCCGAAAAAGGCTCTTGCCAGTATTTGATGGCGCATAGATTGACATGCTCGATCGAGTTGAATGCTGAAAATGGGCTTGTACCATGGGTTTGATAAAAGATAGGATCAAAATTTTTTATTAAAGTTAAAAATTGAATTGAAGAAAAGTTATATCAATAATAGAACGACTATTCAATTTATCCTGAAGTTATTCGATACCAATTACTACGTTGGAAAAAGTAGGGAGAGGGTAATAGCGAGAGTATCTCCAGGATGTCGCCAGACAAATGGTTAAGGAATAACGTCATCGCTATTAAAGAGCAATTGTGGTGTTTTAGGGGTACGGTACACGGGAAGGCATTAAACAAGGCACGGAAGACGCTTTTTCGCTCTGATGTCATTCTGCAGACGACTGGAGCGGACATATTGCCAGTCGCCTACTCATCATGTTATGAACTTCGACTTGATCGAATACCTTTACTAGCCAAGAAGATATTTTAAGAATTACAACATCCTCACTGCAATTATCAAAACTGTAAAGCATAGTATACGGCACTCGAGCTTTGCTCTGCTAAGTCGATACGATGTGAAGAAAGTTATAGTCTTAGCTATTTAGAGACGGTCGAACAGTTTTCTCCCTTATTTGGTACCACTGGCTGCTGAACTCTTCCTCCTTCTCTGCATCCAATTGATTGGGCTTAAATGATGACCTCACCGAATAAGTCAATAGTAGCCGGTCTGTGAATTTAGGAACTAGCTATCGACATAGAGAGGGATTGCGTGGCGTATCCTTGAAGAAGATCGCCAGACGATCGATGTGTCATCCAACACTTACTGTAGCCCATAGCACCCAGTGTGTGGCTTGAAGTCCGATTCGATAACAGCGAGCAAGGACTCTCCACCAGTTGTCTCGCCACATGACAACGTCTATCACCTTTGTAGCACGATCACAATTGGTCCAATGTTCAGGGACGATTGAAATTCGAGCAGATGATGAAACGGTATCCGCATGGGAACGAAAAAGTGTATCACTTCACTGATCGTGCAACAGCAACACCATGATAGCTAACTAAGAACTAGGGGTGGTTGGAAGGGTGAAGGCGTATAGCGTAGGTGAAGATGATGCAGCCGTTCTGTCGGCATATTACCACTCTGAAATCCCACGTTTACTCTGACAAACTGGTAGACTGGAACAATCAGTTTTCATAACATAAAATGATAAAAAACACACAAATACAACATCATCTGAAGTACAACAAACTTACGTAACAAGGTTATCGACGGCGTTTTGAGCTTTCACATATGGCGATGCAGGCAAGGAATGGCTGAACAATGACGGATCACAAATCGACAAACACCACATTAATCACTACCGTAATCTTTTTTCTTTATAACTCTACACATGCAGGCTACTTCTTGCTGCTGTTACATACTTTGAGTGAATGAATCGAATCATGAAATGGGGAGAATTCTGCCGAAAGCAGACGGCTACATTCTGGTCCCCCTATGCTACTTTAAGACTCTTTCCAGAAATAAACAATTGCTTCAGCAAGTTCCTTCCAAGCGGCTGATCCGGCATAAGATACGGTGGTAACTAAGAAGCTCAACAGCATGGGGTTCCTACGATGGAAAGATAAGGGGTCGTTCAAAATACTCACACAGACATTCAATGTGGATACAGCCGTTGATCATGATGGAAGGCAGTAACTAAATAGTTAATGCACGGTTGGGAGAGACTCATTTGATAAATCTCGATTATTTTGCTCTATCGAATGATGCGGCTGAAAGTGGGGTCGAAAAGTCTCAATTTGTACAAACGCGAAGCTATTATTCGTCAAGTAATCTATACTCTGTAAGCATCCGTCATCTTGTCTTGCCGGGTGCCGGCGTAGTGCCGTTCAGGACCTCTGCCTGCCCTCCTGCTTCGAATGGAACCCTGGTACTGTTCCACGATGAAGTGGTGATTGCTGGAGGCACTTCAGAAATCCGAAAGCCTAAGCGAACAGCCTTCGACGGCCACCGAAACACTTGGGAGGTGACTGGGTACCCATGTGGTCCCCATCATTGACGAGAGCGTCGAGATATCTGCGTTACCCGCAATCGACAATTCCTCGAAGGAGATTTCATCGACTACCGTTATGCTTTGGTATTTACGCACGACACTTTCTCCATCACATTGACATGATGCCTTTTTGTACACCCTGGCTTAGACTCTATAATAACCTTTGAAGAGGGAAAGGAGGAGGGGCATTAGAAGCAGTCATTTGTGTCATAATGTCGTTTCCATTCCACCTCCTGCTCCCAGAGGAAGAACCATGGAAATTGGTTCAAATTCGTATGACGGACATTGACTATTACCGCCACGGAAAACCTGGGTGAAGCAGTTGTATGCAAGAGGATGGAGGGAAGGTTGCTATTGTAGGTTATGAGGTAGGGACATACTGCGTAATTTTCTTTCCGTTGTTCGGTGATTAAAGAGCCTTTCACATCTAACCACCTGTGATAAAAAATCGTCTAATTTACTAGTGATATAGATAAAAATTTGATGAACCGGTATTTTCCATATTTTCCTGGTATTTCTTCGGGGCAGCTTCGGTTTCGTGGGGAAGTTGAGAACTATGAGCTTATGACCGATGATGGGAATCGAACTATATGTCTAAAGGAAATATTTGGCATAAGGCGTTAAGCTAGATTCCCGGCTAGATATGCGTCTCTTCCTCAGGAACAGCTTGCTGAGATCCCCTTCTCAAAAAAATGTACTCAAACGTCATCTAATGAGGCACGTTTCGAAAAAAAAACAGGACTTATAATGAACTTACACTTATTATTTAGTATTTTATTCATTGAAACATGTTGAAAAGGTTGTCATCACCCGTGACAGAACGCCTTGGGAAGCTCAATTGCATTGACTTTTTTCGTTTTCCGAGAAATCATTTGGTATGCGTTTTTTCCTTGTGAGGCCAGAAACATGAATGCTCATTAGACATGCGTCTTTGCAAAGGCTTAAGTCAATACATACTTAATGAACATGTTGAGCTCCGCTTCTTCAAAAACTGCCTTCTTTGACTGTTACCCAACGAAGTTAGACTAATGCGAAGTCTAAAGGCACAGTTTAGGATGAAAATGAGAGTTCCACTCTAATATGAACCCGAGGACTCCAAGGATAGCACGTGTGACATAGTTGGGACGGAAATCAAGCTCGACAGGACGTTGTGAGGGTTCCGAAATCGACTTGACCAACGTGCACACCCAAAAGTGGCCGTGTCATGATGGTGTTGTTGAGAAAGCAGCCGAAGAATTTTTGCTCCTGCCGTAAGAGCTGGATTTCCTCCCTGGGTTTCCTGACTGTTGGGAGCTAAGTCTTAGGAACATCAAGCCTCTACTATAATTAACCTTAGCACTTGCTTGAATTTAATGACCATCCTAACGAGGCAACGTTGAGTTTGTCTCCTGGAATCCTGAAACTCCACAGGAAGATCTTTTGGTGGCCAGAGGGGAGTGAGGCCGGAATTTGACGTTCTGTGGAGGCGATATGTCTACACCTGCATTATCAACCTTCCCCAGATAAACCTTTTCTACTACTTAATATTGAATATGAAGGCAGAAGCTACATACGATTTGCGCGATGTGACTCCATCAGTTCGATGTTTCTCTCTTAAATGGTCAATTAGAGGTGCCTACACACAAAGAGATTTGCTTCCGGAAAGTTGGTGCTTTATGGCTATAAGGTGCTTTTCTTCTAGAATCCTAATTCTTCTCAGGGCTTTTCAGGGTCACCGTCCCTCTAACCACAATCGGAAAGGGGCCCGATGAACGTGGAGCTTGGAATTGGGCGATCCTATAGAAGCCATTATTCGGATTCCTTTTCAGACTGACTTTCCTTTGTTGTAGTATTTCTGGGCCTCACTGCACTGATTGAATGATGATCGGGTCAATAAGCGTTTCCCTCATAAGGCGGATCTGGTACTGATCAACAAACTCCGTAGGTGGTTCTTGGCTGGCATAAAGTCGACACCTCGCTTCTGAAGCCTTAAAGCAGCTTGAATTTTGATTCGTTCTATGGGTTAATGGTGACTTTCATCGGCACCAGTGTCAATTACGCCGCCGCACCGAAAATGGCCCTGCCCGTACCCTTTCATCGGTGATTTTCTGTATTGGAAAGATCACGCAAACCCACAAAGCTGAGAATTTCAGGACTGAAAGGAAATAAAGGAGCTTGCATAATCGGAATATTCCCCTACCATGTGCGTCCCTAACTCAACTTCAAGCCCCCCATGTCTGATTTTGAGTGAGAGTAGGGGAATTCGGCCCATGTCTGTCATGCCCAAATTGTTAACCAAGCGCATGCAGTAGTGACTTGCAAGATCCAAAAAAGTAATGCTCATTCAGCAATAGGACATTCGGAGAAAACCAAAGGGCATTCACTCTTCAGATGGCGAATCAGCTGCAAAGGATGACAACCTTGTGGCAATAAAATG